ATATAAATAACTCCCAAAGCGACCGCCTTCCCTATGCAAACAAACCACACAACTCCCCTGACTGTGTGAACCGTTTCTCGTTGATTTATTTATTGATTTATTTATTGATTTATGGCGATATCAGCGTATTGCAAGTTACTAGGCTGCTGCTGCTGTTAAGGCCCTTTCCGAATACGAACGGGCTTTAAGGATAACCGGGATACTTTCTCTACAGATCTTGCTCTTGTTCTCTTTCTCTCTCTCTCTCTCTGTCGATCTTTCTCTCTCTCTCTCTCTCTCTCTTTCGATCTCTTCTCTCTTCTCTCTATCTCTCTCTTCTCTCTGTCGATCTTGCTTCTCTCTCTCTCTCTCTCTCTTTCTCTCTCTCTCTCTCTCTCTCTCTCTCTCTCTCTCTCTCTCTCTCTCTCTCTCTCTCTCTCTCTCCTCTCTCTTCTCTCTCTCTCTCTCTCTCTCTCTCTCTCTCTCTCTCTCTCTCTCTCTCTCTCTCTTCTCTCTCTCTCTCTCTCTCTCTCTCTTCTCTCTCTCTCTCTCTCTCTCTCTCTCTCTCTCTCTCTCTCTCTCTCTCTCTCTCTCTCTCTCTCTCTCGTCTCTCTCTCTCTCTCTCTCTCTCTCTCTCTCTCTCTCTCTCTCTCTCTCTCTCTCTGTCTCTCTCTCTCTTTTCTCTCTCTCTCTCTCTCTCTCTCTCTCTCTCTCTCTCTCTCTCTCTGCTCTCTCTCTCTCTCTCTCTCTCTCTCTCTTCTCTCTCTCTCTTCTCTCCTTCTCTTCTCTCTCTNACCTACTCGACGCGCTTTCCCTCTCCCGTTGCACATCCCACTCGTCGAGCCCTCTCCCTAAGTACCTCACTCTCTTCTCTTTCACTCCCACGTCCCCACTCCCTCTCCTTCTCCCTACAGAGCTTTCCCTCTCCCTCTCCCTTAACCACTCTTAACGCGACTCTCTCTCCCTTAAACCACTCCCTCTCCGCATTAACTTCAACCCTCCCTCTCCCACTCCCTCTCCTTCTCCCCTTTGGCCATCCTTCCCCTCCCTTACCCTCACTTCCCACTCCCCTCTCCTTCTCTCATCCCTCTCCCCTTACCTCAATCACTTCTCTCTCTCCACTCCCACTCAACTCTCCCTTCCCCTCCTCCTCTCCATCCCTTACCCATTCCCTCTCCCTAAACACTCCCTCTCCCTTCTCCCTTACCCGCAACTCCTCTCCTTCTCTCCATTCTCTCTCCCTTATCCAATCCCGCCTCTCTCTCCCACTCCCACCACATCTCGCCGCCTCTCCCACTTGTTGCCCTCTCTCTCTCCCTTAACCCTCTTCCCCTCTCCCCTAACACTCCTCTCCCTCTCCCTTACCCACTCCCACTCCTCATCCCTCTCCACTAAGCGTGACGAAGCCGCCCCCTTACGTACGCAATCCTCTCTTCTCGCCCACACCCACTCACCTCTCCTCTCCCACTCTGTCTCCCTCTTCCACCCACTCTCTCTCCTTACGCCATTCCTCTCCCTTCTCCCTACCGCTTCCCGCTCTCTTACTCGCTACCACTCCCACTGCCTTCGTCCGCTCTCCACTTCCTCTTCCTTACGCAAGTGCCTCTCTCTTCTCTCCCACACCCACATCACTCTCCTCTCCCATCTGTCTCGCCTCTCCCACTCTCTCTTCCCTCTCCCACTCCCTTTCCCTCTCCCACTTCCCACGCTCTCCTCTCCTTACCCACTCCCTGCGTCGCTTACCCACTCCCATCCCTCTCCCTCTCACCTTACCTACCGCACTCGCCACATACTTCCTTCTCTACCCACTCCCACTCCCTTGCTCCCACTCTCTCCCTTCCCCTCTCCCACTCCCTCCTCCCTTTACCCACTCCCACTCACTCTCCCTCTCCCTTACCCACTCCCTCTCCTCTCCTCTCCCTTACCCACTCCTCTCCCTCTCCCTTACCCACTCCCACTCCCCTCCCACTCCCTTACCATCTCCCACTCCTTCCTTACCCACTCCCACTCCCTTACCCACTCCACTCCTTACCCACTCCCTCTCCCATCCACTCCCTTACCACTCCCACCCTTACCCACTCCCTCCCTTTTCCCACTCCCCATCTCCTCGAGTTTCGAAATCCCCCCAAATCCCCGCAAAGCCTCGCGGATCTTTTCCCCGGGCGGGAAGGGGGCGAAAATGGCGGCGACGAATGAGGCTAAATTGTGGGGTCCGCGTTACTCGTCTCGCTATCTGCTTCTGAGGCGTTCCGGTGCGGGGTTATGCGGACATGGTAACGCGCTTGCATTCCTTATACGGACACGGATGCTCACGGATAGGGATACGTATGTACGCAAGTATATATACACATACGTACATATACGGACACGGATGCTCACGGATAGGGATACGTATGTACACAAATAATATATACACATACATACGTACATATACGGACACGGATGCTCATGGATAGGGATACGTATGTACGCAAGTATATACACATACGTACATATACGGACACGGATGCTCATGGATAGG